TTGCATTTATAATCATTAGACATAAACAAACTATAATCTATCTCTGTGCCAAGTTTCATCCAGATCCGTTCAGCCGTTCTGGCAGAAAGAGTAACAAACTTCCATCCATCCTCACAATTTTTCGCATTTATAATATTATCGGGATTAGTATGGATTTTTGAATATGGTTTAACGGATTTCGATTATAAACCTTTACTAACGCAATCCGCATTGGTTATCTTTATTTCGAGTACTTATTATTAACTTAACTTGAAACTTTGTGTGTTGGTTTTTATTTTTTGTCTGTAAGTTTTGTCTGTAACTGCATCACGAGAAAACCACTTGACAGATTTTGATGAAATTTGGTACGATGATAGCCGGTTATCCAGGTTAACCATTCGGATACAATTTACTTCAGGGAAATATCTCATCTCTGAGAAATCTATACTATTAAAACGTACAAAGAGACGAACCCGAGCGGAGCGACGATGAATCGCTATAAATATTATATTCAGTCTTTTTTTAAAGTATAAAATTAATCAAAAGTTCTAGTTTCTATCAAATCCAACTTCCCTACCAGTAAAATGGTATATCATAAGCTAATTAACATAATTTTGTTTCTACTAGGCAGTATCTAAATAGGTCATTTGAGGAAAGTCTCGATTCTTCGTAACGGTGTTAGTTATTATCTCGATAACACAAATAAAATACTTGCAGGTACGTCACTAATTATTGTTTGCTCAAAATCAAGACATGATGTGCTTATCGTAATATATTTTTTTTTTTGATTTTTAAATCTATGTTACCTTTAGTTAATTTATTTATTCCAATATTTAATTATATTTTACAATGTCAATACTAATAAATAAAATTAGATGATTTATTAAAGAACCTTATTTATATGAGGAATATCGGTATATTTATTATCTGTGTGATAAGTAAATGTACATAAATTCTTTATATATTGTTTAGAAAATAATATTTTTTAAATTGCCAGTTTTACATAAGCGATTCGGAATGAGTAAAGAAACCTAGAAATGATTTTTAAATATCTAGTCAACGATACCACACTTGTCATAGTTCGTCGATTTTCATTTTTCTTTTTCACGTTATGGCGTCCAAAATCGGCCATTCTGATTTTTTCAATTTTTTTTGCTTTCTATGACATTTGCGCCGTCATGACGAATCAAATGACATGTCATTTATCAAAATCGGCCCACGCGCTTTGTATTAACAAACCCACACATACATACATAAATACGTACATACATACATACATACATACATACATACATACATACATACATACATACATACATACATACATACATACATACATACATACATACATACATACATACATACATACATACATACATACATACATACATAGGCTGATAAACACATTACCCTTCTTACTCCTCTTTCCCCAAAAATAAAGGTTCGCTATAAAACATTGGTAGGTATATCAATGTTATAAAAGTAATAAATGGACACTCACTAAGCAACTTGTCAATGTATGTACATGCGTGTATGTATGTACATTAATAATAAAATATTATCAGATAGTGTTTTAAATATTCCAAGTTATCAACTTTTATCTAGCATTCAGTAGAATGCCTAAATATTTCGCATCAACAATGGATTTAATATGACGCCAGGTTTGGCTCAGTTTGTAGTTACCCTACTTGCTGCGCCAGCGGTCGTGGGTTCGAGTACCGCTGGGGGCAGTCATTTGTGTGATGAGCACGAATATTTGTACTCCAGTCATGGGTGCTTATATTTACAATATGTATTTAAAGTCATATATATGTAGTGTATCAACTATCTGGTGTCCATAACACAGGCCTTGTAGCTCACCATGGAACTAGATAGTGTTGTGTTAATGTCCCAACATAAAAAAAAGTAAATTCAAATATTACCATGCTTTATTCATTTTTGACACACGTCTCGCTTATTATTATTTTTTCAAATTAGAATTAGAAATTTAATTAAACCAAACTGAATGTGATCATAATCCATACATATAATAAAATTGTAACTAAGCCGAATCTGTACATTAAATATCTTTTGGAAAATCTTATTGTAATAGACATTATTGTCGATACAGAGGCCCAATCTATAGTTTTTAGAATTTTTGTCTGTCTGTTACCGCATCACGGAAAAACCACTGGACGGATTTTGATGAAATTTGGTATAATGATAGCCTGGTTATCCGGGTCAACATATAGGATACTTTTTATTGCGGGAAAATATCTCATTTCTGAGAAATCTATACTAAAAGTTAAAACGTAAGTAGGGACGAACCGAGTCTCTAGTTTTTGTATAAAATATTCGCCTTTTTTTAATAGAACTACAATAAAAGTTTTACATAATCAATTTACGCGTATTAGGCCCCACATTTATTTCTGTCAGTACATCTGTCATGACATGACATAACAAAATATTCTATAAAAAATCAACAAGCAAAGTCGTCTTATTGTGTTGAGATTTTTATTGTACTGAGACTAATACATTCATGTATTTAGCGTTCGCAACAATACTTATTTGTTAGACATTTAATTTAACATGTTTAATTTATTAAAGCACATTTCATTGTTTCGTCTGGTGTATTCTGTCTGTATGTGTGTAGTTTGTCTCTTCTCTTCTTCTTGATGATGTTTTCATTAATTGGCTTAGTGTACATTTCTCAGAGATGAGATATTTTCCTACAGTAAAAAGTATCCTATATGTTGACCCGGATAACCAGCTATCATCATACCAAATTTCATCAAAATCTGTCCAGTAGTTTTCTCGTGATGCGTTCCCAAATTGAGAGACAGAAAGACACACAGACAAAAATTCTAAGAACTATAGACTCTAATAAAATTAAAGATAATAATGTCTAGTTTAATAAGATTTTCCAAAAAAATATTTAATATACAGATTCGACTCAGAATTTTACTTTATGTATACATAAATTACTACTTCAATTACTTAAGAATTATAATATTATAATTAATATTTATATATTGTTTACGATAAAATGATTTTTAATTATATTCCTTTGATATTCTGTCTATGCCCACTCTAACACAACATTTTTAAGATACTTCAACTACGGACTATAAAGGCACTTCTTTAAAAAACAGCAATTAAGAGTTGCAACTGTTGATATCTTTATAAATGTGTAGTTTAATGTCATTTACGAATAATTTTAAAACGTCTAATTATATTTATTAACTAAATAAATAAATTATATGTCTCAACATCGTTGCTTAGTCACAGGTGGGTTTTTACATTCAATAACGTCAAGGCTTAACCCATTCGATCTTAAAAAGGATTTTTTTTTCATGTTTTACTAGTACAAAAAAACAATTATAGTTAACTAGCGACTCACCCTCGCTCTGCTCGGGTTCGTCCCTAGTAAAAATTTTGCTTTTGTATGTATTTTTAATGCCAAATCATAAAAAAATAAAAAAATATATTTTGGGTGGACCACTCTTATCACTTAGGGATATGAAAAATAGTTTAGATTCTATTCTAAGACCTACTGAATATACACACAAAATTTCATAAGAATCGGTCAAGCCGTTTCGGAGGAGTTTTGTTACAAACACTGTGACACGAAAATTTTATATATTAGATTAGACAAGAAATGGTAATAGGTGTTTTGTAAAGAAGCACAATTAATAATTAGCTATATTAAATATTATTTACTAGCAGAACCCGCAGCTTCGCTCGCGCTAAAACTACGAAAAATCTTTAAATAAGTAGTTTCATACTTTCATCCCCTATTTCACCCTCTTATAGGATGAAATTCGAAAGATGTTAAAATAAGTATTTATTTAATCTTATTGAAGAGCATTAATACCAAGTTTCAAGTAATTCTGATCATAAATATTTTTTTGGATTGTATTATAACGTGTTTCCCGCGAGAACGAGATAACCTCCCGCGGTAAAAAGTAGCCTATGTCACTCTCCAGCCCTCCGACTATCTCCACACAAATAAATCACGCCAATCCGTCACTCTGTTTCGATGTGAAAGAAAGACAAATAAACAAACACACTTTCACAATTATAATATTAGTATGGATTAAGAGCAATTTTACTAATTTTAATAATTGTCACTTTATCCTCAAAATATTTGCGTATTTCGGAATTAAAAAAATATGTTGTAGACTGAAGTAAATCTTTGTTTTATCATTAAACAACATCGTTATAAAAATTTATAATATGTATGTATTAAAAGTTATATACTTGTAGAATATCAACTATCTGGTATCCATAACACAAACCTCGTAGCTTACCATGGAACTTGACGGTGCTGTGTGTTAATGTCCCAATATATTTATTTTATTTATCATGGTGAATCAAGGTCTTTAAATAAAATAATATTTTAAAAATTTCAGATATTAGTTTTATTTTTCATATAAATCTTTAATTTATAGTTCCATTGTGATGACACATTAATTTATATTATACATTTTATATAACTAAAGGACACATGACTCAAAAAACTTATTTCGTTGAAAGAACATTTGCACTTAAAATATGTGAAAAATATACGTTTTATAAGCAGTGGTTCTAAGACAAGACGCCCTAAGAATTCATATATTAGAATTGCTTTTGAATAATGAAAAAAAGCTGATTTGACCAATAAAAACCAATATCCAAAACTTGGTAACGATCTTAAAATTATTATTATAATGGCTATAATAATAATATTTGCTTAAAAATCTAAAACTACTTGAATCATACAACTGATTCTTAGAATTCAATAATTTACATATATATTTCTTAACATAAATATCTATAAAGCAATCGTCTAACTTTTATTCTTACAATAACACTGTCAGTGTATTCTAAGCGTAATACAAAAAGCAAACAATACAATTCGTCATTCCTTACTTGGCCGATACGGCCTTGCTATATCATTGACTTGCCTTATGACTGACACAGCGGCTAATATTTAGAGGCAATTTCCACAACAAACGTGGAACATTTAGACCATTATTTCTCCAATATACAATACATAATCATCGTAGACAACCCTGTGTATTTGATGAATTCCAGTTATTAATGGAACTTAAATTATTAACCAGGCGCCATCCAGGGCTGAATGTGTCAGGGTTAACTTGACATTGTCCCCATACCGTGTAGTCTGGCCGGAGCACACCTACTTCTACTAATCTATCCAGCAGGATATTTATATGATCAAATTGATATTGATTAGGATATATTCTTGTATAATCACCAATAAACATAATGGATATACTTATTCTATTATAATTCACTACCATCGCACCAAAAACATTTGCTCCTCGACCTTCAAATACCCAACCATCATCTCCACCAACGAGGAAATTCGGGCCAATATCATCGAATGACCGTCTTAAATGATTTTGTTGTATACCCATTACAGTCTCGATGCAGTCAAACCTTCGCTGGCAACTTGTAGCGGCTGAGTGTCCAATAATTACATTTGACAAAGGTAGTTGAAGAAAATTGACAGCGTATGCTGGCATCGCTTGCCAGTCGCCACGACGTAGATACCACGTCTCATTTAATCCTGGAGAAACAGTTAAAATAATTTCTTTTCAATGAATTATATAAGCAATAATAGCTAAATATTTGAAAAAGAACTCATGGGTTTAGGTAAATTTTTATATTACCTATGTCAAGTCTAGTTTGTTTTGGCATTGCAACGTATATGAGATATACAATAAGCCCGATGGCTACGATGAGGGCCCAGCAGATAAAGACCGCTACACTGCATCGCACTCTGCGAGAATGCTTTGAAGACACCAATTCAAGGCCCACGAAACGGCCTGAAACAATTAAAAATACACCATTAATTGGTAAAGAACAGAAATCAAATAATCGACGATTTTATTAGAAAATATGTACTATACTTATTTGATAAAAAATACACTTATAAATAGTTTTAATGTTTGAAGATAAAATCTATTAACATAACACTGTATTAATATAATTCTATTTGGCAAAATATATATGGAGAGTTTATATGTAATTTGACTCCGCCGTCTATTGGCTATATTTATAGCATAATTGTGATGTACGGAGACGAATCTGTTATATAGTTCATGAATACAACCTTAAGAGGATTGTGAACCTGTAAATTTTCATACAAAAAGCGATAACGTTTTTCCCCCCTTAAACATAGTTTAATTTTCATAATTTTTGGAAATGTTGTAGATATAATCAAAATCTAGGTCCGTACGTTTTTATTTTTTTGAAATATTGCGTACGACAGAAGTTATTAGCATCTAAATATCTATATTTTTGACCTAAAAACTTCCTCCAGCGTTTTTATTTTTTTAAATTAAACTAAACTGAATTACAAAAAAAGGAAAACGTACAGACCTAGATTAAGGTGTACTGAATCTAATGAGACCAAAATCGTCTCATTTCGTTAATGTTTAGGGGGGTGAAAACGTTATCGCCCGAAACAATATTTCAAAAAGGAAATGTAGGTAATTGAGTCTAAGACTTGCAACTCTCTCTATCGCACCATACGGGTCGGGGGCAGGGGCATATTTTAGACTGTAGTGATGTTGAAGGTGCTATCGATATTATTATCTCCTAGGGAGGAGAAGGTAATATCGATATATCGATCGATACTGAAAGGATTCAATCCAAAGTTTAGAATTTTATTATACTCGTATGTATAGATTGTAACTAAGCCGTATCTGTACATTAAATATTTTTTGGAAAATATTATTGAAATAAACATTATTATCGATACAGAGGCCGAATCTATAGTTTTTTGAATTTTTGTCTGTCTGTCTGTATGTCTGTCTGTCTGTTACCACGTCACAGAAAAACCACTGGAGAGATTTTGATGAAATTTGGTGTGGTGGTAGCTGGTGGTGGTATCCGGATCAACATATAGGATTACTGCGGGAAAATATCTCATTTCTGAGAAAAAATACAAAACTGCAATGTACGAATATACTAATATGTAAAACCTACGAATTTGTTTTTGGTCATATGAACGCGGGCGGAGCCGCGGGCAATGCTAGCTAAACATAAAAAGTTTCAATTGCTTAGCTCTTTTACATTAGATTTTATTGATATTTAAAAAACTCCGATTTCGTCACTGACTCACTGATGATCATCAAAACTCTTAGGGTACTTCCTGAAGTCCTAGAAAGCTAAAATTTGGTATGTATACTAGTATTATAGTCCAATTGGAATCTGACAACAATATATTGAAAACCTGAAGTTTTATAATTTTCAAATGTTAGCAGGTATATAAGGATTAGAAATTCGTAAAATGCCCCATCTGTCCAGCTACACTCGAGAAATGGGAGGACGCAAAGCGTTGAAAAATAGTTTTTTTCAATTTCCGGCTCACTGTGACGTTCTATCGAAAAATATTTTCTACAAATGTAAAAGGTCTAGTAAAAATCTACAACTTTGATAAATAACACTTTCTACGATAACCTCAAAGTTTTCGAGATATTTGTTTGTATAAGTTTAAATGAGTAAGGGTCTTCCTACACCCCTCCACCCCTCGCCCTCCACCGGTCACGCGCTTTCTTTTGCTAATTGCTGGACTACTACCGTTTAGAAGGAGCAATAAAAATACTTTTACTTTTGTAAAATTTATATTTTTAATTTTATATTCGTTATAATTTATAATATTCGTTATAATTTTAAAAAAATATTACGAATAGCATATGTATATTTATAAATATACACATACTATTCGTTATAATTTTTTCGAATTTATCGATATTTTATTAGTTTTTGCAGTTAATTTTATTGATTTTTCTGAAAAAAATGATTTTAGGACAATTACAAAAAGAAATGAAATTCATTCGTAATCTAATCTTGTTTATTCATTAGTTAAAAATATATTTTAAAAAATTAAGTTGATATATTTTATAAAATTTAGTCATAGATTTGTTAAAAAATCGTAAATCATCATCATTCATGATCAGGTCATTTTATGAATTTCTATTCCTTATATACCTGCTAACATTTTAAAATCATAAAACTTCATGTTTGCAATAAATAAATTATTTTAAAAATAAAAGGATTCCGATGGGTCTATTAGTACATAAACAACAAAAAATTCTAAAACTTTCAACTTTTGGAACGAGCTTTTTGTAATTGATCTAAATCACCTATTTTTTTTTCTATGATTTTTTGAAGTCATCAATCTAAACAAGTCAAATTTTAAATGATATTCGCCACAAAATTGTAATTTAGAGTTATTTCAGTTTATGAATAAAGGTGCGATGTAACTTGTAGGGAATGTATATTGTACGCAAACCGTAGATATTAGATAAACTTTGAAATTGCTCTTGCGCCGAGTCGCGCCGCCCCCGCCCCCCGCGAGCGCCCGCGCGTCACCGGCTGCTGCTATCATAGTGTGTGTGAGAATTTGCGTATGTTGTATTTGTGTTGTTCACTGCCGGGGGGATGCAAAGCGGTATGAAACAGATAGCATTTTTAAAAATACCTACTCTCGCCGCGTATCGGCACTTCACAATCCTCTTAACTGGTCATGTCCACGTCTCGTTTCCTCTACTGATGGCAAGAGGGCGGGCTTTTTTTCACCAAAAGTCAAAATTGGCATGGCATAACTAAATTTCACCTAATAACAAAACGGTAATTATTATTAAATACCATTTGTTTAATATAACTTTTAATTTAAGCTATAATCTAATTTTAATTTTGAAAATTAATCTCTAAATAAAAAAATGTGAGAATGGCATTGACATTATAATAAATAAATAAATATGTTGCGACATTAACCCACAGCACCAGAGTTCCATGGTAAACTACGAGGCTTGTGTTACGGATACCAGATAGTTGATACACAACTCATATATAACTTTAAATCCATACTCATTATATTTATAAACGCCCATGACTGGAGTACAAACTTTCGTGCTCATTACACAAATGAATGCCCCCAGCGGGACTGCTGGTACAGCGGTAAATATTATATATGCGAAAGTTTGAATGAATGTTTGTTACTTAATAAATACATGATGATAATGTAAATCTAAGAAAGTATTATGTTTGTTACTTAATCACGCCCGAACGGCGGAACGGATCTGGATGAGGCACAGAGATAGATTATAATCTGGAATAGCACATAGGGGATATCCATAAATTACGTCACACGAATTTAATAATTTTTTGAATCCTCCCTCCCTCCTTGTCACAGGTGGTCACATTTGTAGGACCTCCCCTCCCCCCCCCCCTACACCACCCCTCCCCTCTGTGTGACGTCACATATTTTGTGCAATTTTACACCCAGAACTGAATAAAATAAAAACAGCAGTTCCGAAAATATTTTTTTAATAATATCTACAACAACAACGTGGTACAGCGAGCCGCTTGCTGTCCAGCGAGAATTCGCCAACAAGACAATATAAACCTTATATAGCGTAAAGATCATTTTTTTTTATTTTTCGTTTATAGTTAATGTTTTGTATTTTAATACTTTAGATTTTCACACTTCGTTGACCCCAATTGTGAGTAATTTATGGATGGCCCCATACGTTACTTTTTATCCCGGAAAAATGTACAGTTCCCGTGGGATAGATTTGTTGTTGCTCTTCACTAGGGATGAACCCAAGAGAAGCAAGAGTGAGTAGGTATAGTGTTGCATAATAAATTATTTCAAGAATTTTGTTTACTTTTTTCAGAGCATCTGTATTATTATTGTTGCTATCAGAACATATTATTGAGAGTGGTCATTAAATAAAAGATTTTACAATATAACACGGCTTGTTATGGGTATTCAATATATAGTCCATCGTTGTTCTAAAAGTGCCTTTGATAAGAATTTTATTAAAAAGCAAAGATAAGATAGCGTGTGGGCTAATATAATAAACACTATTGCGATTTTCATATTTTAATAAAAACAAAGATATTGTAAATCTGAGTGATTTATAATCACATTTTAACATTATTTTCTATTTCTAAATAAAATAAAAACTAAAAAAAACGACTTCCAGGCTTTAAAAAGTAAAAAATAACTAAACGGGGGTTTTCATTTAGAATAGATACCTAATAAAATATTTTCGAAGTCGGTGTGCTTTGATTCGTATTGGCTGGCACCGACTTCGAAACCGACTTCGCCGAATAAAATCGACTAAAAGTTTTTAATTTTTCATTTTCAGTGCAAACATCATAATAGCAAAGTAAGAAGAAAGTATTTTTAATAATACAGTAGGTGAAAAATCAATCTATCCTATTTTCGATACTTAGGGATGGATTTTTTTCAAATTTGAAGATCACGTTTGATGTAAAGTCTATCCAATCAAATAATAATATTGAAAATGATAATAGCTGGCTATCCCGATCAACATAATATGTCATATAGGATACTTTTTACTGCGGGAAAATATCTCATCTCTGAGAAATCTATACTAAACGAAGCAAGCGTGAGTCGCTAGTATTTAATAACATTTTAAAATACTGATTCCATTTCTTGTAAGTCTTTGCATAAATAAGACTCTTGCACAAGCAACAATGTGAGTGCAAAAACCGATATTGCTAACTGATAAACTTATCAGATATAATCAATCGCTAGTGCATTAAGAAATTTGACAGCAGGTAGATAATTTAAATTAAACAATATCACAGTCGTAAACATTCAATTAAAAAATAATAAAGTTGTGATAATTTGTCGCAAATATTCTATTTCACCCCGTTTCATTTTTCAAATTTACTAAAAAAATTGGCTGTATTTCCAAAATTAAATGAATTTAGTCCACTTATAAGTACTAATCTTTTTTGTCTAATAGCTAGCATGTATGGCTGTAGATTTGGAGGTCCTGAGTTCGAGTTTTAAGTCAGGCCAATTATAGTTATTGAGTTTTTTTAAGGAATTCTCAGTAAGTGCATGAGGGTTGGAAATTGGTGGTATTACACCCCCGTGTCAAGGAGAACACGTTAAACTGTAGGTCCTTATCAAAGAGCATGCACACCATCACACGTATCTCCTGAGCACATGATTATATAATATATTATCTAGTGTCAATCAGGATGACATTGTAAGTAGTGTTCTTGGTATCCTTAAAGTCACAAAAATGCAATAAGAGCTAACATAATATGGTGAATGATAGAATATATTGTACACCAATCTGCAATTTGCTAGTTTTATGATAGAATGAATTATATATCAATCCTCAAATTTCAATAGTGTTAGTAACAAAATGTCCTTTGTATGTCTAGATTTTTTGCCTAACCTTTATACCAAAATGAATATGTAAGAAACTGTACAACCAAAAAAAAACCTCTCTTTTTAACATCGATATTAGATCTCTTTTTACAACATAAAACTGCTTCACTTAATTTCATCTTAAGCGTCACCTTTATACTATGGATAGCAAATCAACAACTTCAAGAACATTGACTAAAATATTATTTTTCTAATTAAAATACCAAACAATATTTTATTTCAATTACAGGCTCATTTTATATTATAACCCGCATGTCTGAGAGAACTTAGCAAGTTTTTAAAAGACATGTGAAGTCCGCCAACCCACACTTGGCCAGCGTGGTGGACAATGGCCTGATCCCCCTCGTATTGAAGGGTGGCTCACGCCCAGCAGTGGGACGTTAAGTAGGGCTGAATACAATCCCCCCCAACGTGCGTTCACCTTGTCGTGGTGGGGGGGCTCAGTAGTACCCGGCAATACAGCCGGGCGTGAAGCCAAGAAATGCACAGGGAGGTGGCCCGCTTCGGTGGGCGGTGGGAGGTGGCCCTCTTCGGAGGGCGGTGTACCATGCGGGTTGCTCCTGGTACTTCTCTGATAGCAGAGTGGACTTTGGAGCAACCCCGTGGTTGTTGTGGTCTGCTTCGGCAGACCTGCCGTCGGGGCGTCGTAGTTGAATGCGTAAGCGATCCTGCGACGCCCCATTAAGACGGGGGAAGGCTTTATTGGGTTTTAGTGGGTAGTAATAGCTTTGCCGGTAAGTCCTACACCTCGTGCGTAAATGCATTTCCCAACGTTAAAAAAAAGGGCTGAATACAATACATACATACAGGCTCATTTGAAATCGTTTTGACGAAATTAGTGGCGGACTAGAACTTTTAATATAATATTTTTTGGATTATTGCTGTTTTTCATGTATTATAATGGAAGCCAAAGGCCACATTGCCGGGTTATTTTGAAGTAACGGTCACATATATGAGAACTATGTAAACTAATTATGCGTATCAACACATAAATAATACATCCTACTGATATTATATTATTATGCGAAAGTTTCTGAGAATGTCTGGATGCTTAGATGTATAGTATGTATGAATGTTTGTTATTCTTTCACGCAAAAACTACAGAATGGATTTTAATTGAATTTTACAATAATATAGTTCATACATTAGAATAACACATAGGCTACTTTTTATCCCGGAAAAATGTATAGTTTCCGTGGGATAGGTTAATAATTAACTAATACTTTCATACGATGACCTTCTATTTTCTCAGAAACATGACCTTTTACCTATTGTGGATATTTGTTTTAAATTTTCCCTATTCACATTATATTAGTTTCATTGCGCGCCGCTATTTAAAAAAAATCATGGGATACTGGCAATGCCTTTCATACTTTTCAACCGCCTGTTTTTGGAAAACATATTAGTATATAACAAAGAAATTAATTGTTTAATGCTGGAAATACAAATTGTTATCAATATATCAAAAGTGTATATCTTAAATTGTGCTTAATTACATAGATAAAGCTGTTTTTAATGATATCAACTTATAATTAAAGTAAATAATAAATATGTTACGACATTAACCCACAGCACCAGAGTTCCATGGTAAGCTACGAGGCTTGTGTTATGGATACCAGATAGTTGATATACTACACATATATAACTTTAAATACATACATTAGTAGACTCTGTAAATTATATAATTTTTTAAATTTCATTTGGGGCTAGCTTTATTAGTAACTAGTGACTCACCCTCGCTTCGCTCAAGTTCGTCGCTATGTACGTTTTAAATACATATAAATAGTTATTAGCCAGCGTTAGCCATATATATTTTTTTCCTTCATATTTCTGATGTTTTAAAACTTATTATCCTATTCCGGGCTAAGAGAAATCCAACAAATCAAATAACATAAAAATTGGTCCAGCCGTTCTTGAGTTAAAATGGTGTAACTAACACGACATTGTTGTATATTATTATATAGATATACATGTATAGATAGAGTATGTTTAGAAACTAGGTTTCAGTTTCTATATGTTCAATCACGTAAAATCTACTGGATTAGATTTAATAAAACATTTTGCGCAAAGGCGTTATAATGTGACTTAAAAATTGGTAAATATACTTGATCTCGCTGCAATAAAATAGGTTTTAACAGCAAGAGAAAATATTTTTTACATTTTAGAATACAAAATAAAGTAAATTAAGCAAAAAAAATCACAACGAATGCAAAGAAATTCAGGTAATTTTGCTAGTATATTCCAACAGCTAATTTTAAACAAAGACCAAAATACATAATTATATGAGATCAGTCTTTTTATTATGTTTATTTCTAGTCACAGATACAACAAACAGATAAACGTGGTGTATAAATACATTAAATATAGTTAATTCTTCGATAGGTAATAAATAATAAACATAAGTTTACATCTCACTTTGTAGCAAGATAATAAGCGGGATGGAAGATGTCGTTCCTTATACAGTGTTAAAGACCTAATGACATCTTAATCATGTCTGATTAGGACGATGTCACTCAGACTCGTTTGTGTATTGTGTGTTGAAACTTATTTTTCTTTAGATAAACTGTATCGTAGCTTTTATATTACCTACTAGCGTACCTAGTTACGTTTAGAAGTTTAGTATATACTTCTCGGATATGCTATATGTTGACTCGGATAACCTAGATAGCTATCTTCATACCAAAACTCATTGAAATCTATCCAGTGGTTTGCTCAGTTAGAATTTTATTATATGTACGGTCTATAGATTTCTTTACTCAATTTTATATAATTGAGGAAGGCTACCGAAGTACCAATGTAACAAAACAACCTTAAGGTTAAACTTAATAAATTATAGTAGTATTTTGTCCGTGGAGCGATCACTAATACGTATTGATGTTGCCAGTTTTATTAAATTAATATGTTTAGTGATATTTGCCTAATGACGTACAGTATAAAAATTACCTAATAAAAAAATAATTTTAATCGCTAAGTACATAATATATTTAATCACAAAAAGATCAAAGAGCATCAGTTTTAAGTATAACATTGAAATATATACGTTTGAATACTTCGTCTAAATCATTTAACAAATATATTTGCACTGCATGGTTATCATTTGTAAACAACGTTCATGTATATTTATAGTAATTATTACAGCTATATATCTAAATAGGAATTCGCATTGCTTTTTGCTTTATTATTTCCTTACAGCATAATATTTCCCAATAAATTATTATTTAGTATATAGCATTCAAAAATACACAGTCGCTTATATGTATCGCTAGCTTGCGTACTGAGTTAAACAAAGGATGCGCATGCGCCTCACCTTTGATCATCTCTGCGTTGTGGACATTCTGCGTTACCGAGACGATTTTCGGACCAATGTGGACTTTAGAGGACTTGGTGACATTTAGAGTGGACACCATGGGTCCAGGGGGCATGCCTGTAGCCACTGCCCGGTCATCCATAACCACCACATCAGAACATATCTTTCCATTCCCTTCAGCGGCTCCCTCCCTTGCAGACCACATCACTAAAACACTGTGCGTATTACGCAATATTTACACGTTTTAAACAACAGTTCGCGACGGTTATCCGCGTATGACTAACTTCGCGCTAGCGTCCGTTTTGATAACTGGTATTGCAACTGCTTTGATGATTTAAGGCCCGATCCTCACTATAGCATCAATTAGTGATCGTCCTCTATCCGGCGTAAGTCGTGACGCAAATTCTTAACACGTTCGCTATATACAATTTTTATTTGATAAGAATCCAGTTTTAAATCATCTATAGTTAACGTTTGGATGAAATTAATTATAATATTTTGTATCATCGATCAAAGAAGTACTAGATACACAATCAGCGATATGAAATATCCTCACCGAATGAGCGCTCATTTTAACATTTGAGCGTGTTTTTATTTTTTTTCTGAAAGAAAAAACTTTCAACAAGGTTCAATTTACATTGTTTTATATTTATTTCAACTACCTAAACACAATTGGGGACAGTTTTAAGAGAATTTTTGCATGAGATTGTGTATCTAGTACATTTTTCGATGTTATGTATTAATTATTATTTAGTGGCCGTATATTCTGGATCGACCCTAAGTCGATGCAAAATGACAACAAAAAAATCACTACCACTAACATTTATATGCCACATATCTTATATAAATTGATTTCTAACGAAAGTATTATGAGATCGACACATTATGGCCATGTTTTATCCATACATTCATTAGTTTTAGCTGTGTGTTTTATTCAACTTAATAATTTTATATACTAATTATATATTTATTATATACTAGCATTGCCCGCGGCGCCGCTAGCGTTCAGATGACCAAAAAACAAATTCTTAAGTCTTACATAATATTAGTACACTCTTACATTGCAGTTTTTGCATTTTTTCACAGAAATGAGATATTTTCCTGTGGTAAAAAGTATCTTATATATTGGTTATCCAGCTATCACCATACCAAGTTTCATCAAAATCCCTCCAGTGGTTTTTCTGTGATGCGGTAACGGACAGACAGACAGACAGACAAAAATTTTAAAAACTATAGATTCGGCCTCTGTATCGATAATAATGTTTATTTCAATAAGAGTTTCCAAAAAATATTTAATGTACAGATTTGGCTTAGTTACAATTTTATTATATGTATAGATTAGCGACCCACCCTCGCTTTGATTTCGTTCTTGGGTACGTTTTAACAGTTAGTATGGAATAGATAGACTATATTATATACATAGGTATAATGAGTTGTTGTGAGTTGTTTTAAAGGGAATGAGATAATCTCCCGCGGTTTAAAGTAGCCTATGTCATTTTCCATTCCTCTAATACTGTCCACACAAAAAATCAATCTAAACAAATAAACAAACGAACGAACAAAGAAACGAACGAATGAACGAACGAACAATCAAACAAACAAGCACACTTTCAAATTTATAATATTAGTATGGATATATGTATGTGTTTTAGTCCTTTAGCATTTTATAATATAGATTACCAAAGAATAAAGCAGTAAATACGCAGAGTTCCACTTTCTGTGAATATGTTAATCCAAACTGATAAGGTATAGATACATACATATATGTGCTATTATGTAGATATTTCTAGAGCGTGCATATACTTTTGTTATTATATTTTTATCTGTTTTGATTAAAATCATGTCGATTGTGACTTGTGAGTATAGCGGTCAATTATATTATTTTTTTGTTAATGAATAAATTTTTTTTTTTATTTCAGAACAGGTTGCACATTCAAGAATTTTGAGGAAATTTAAAGAGAGTATTATAACTTAAGTATTTATTTATTGCACTAGTGACTCACCCTCGTTCCTTTTAGGTTCGTGCCTACATTTTAGCGGTTAGTATAGATTTCTCAGAGATGAGATATTTTGCCTAAGTAAAAAGTATCCTATATGTTGACCCGAATAACCCGGAAAATCATTATACCAAATTTCATCAAATTCTGTTGAGTAGTTTTCTCGTGATACGGTCCCAGACAGACAGACAAAAAACTATAAATTCGGTCTCTGTAACGATAATAATGACTATTTCAATAAGATTTCCCAAAAAATATTTAATGTACAGATTCGAATCTGTCAGAATTTTATTATATGTAAGTATATGTATAAGTAGATATCGATTAAAAAGAATTATTTCATAAATTCAATATATACATACAATAAAGGAAACGCTCTGGAATTACAAAAATACTCAACTATATATATATATATACAAAACAATTAATGTACACTTAATTATTAGTACTGTACAAGTCATGTCCGTGCGGAATTGTGGCAAGAATACTAGCTGTATTCCACAGCTGAATGGCAATGCCGATTTTTGGGCGAAAAATGAACCAGTTCTCTTATCACTATTAAGGCGATAATAGAAGGTATTATTGTCTTTTAAATTATTTTATTATATGAAAAAATATCATAAAATCGATTGTTATCATTTCTCTAACTGATATAGAGTACGCATTTTTTATTCCAAAATAACTAAAAATACGAGTGTGTTGTACTCGTATATATACTTAGACTAAAAAAATATGTGGGCAAACACTCATAAAACTGAATATAAAGCCAAACAATAACATCTTAAACTAAACTCCTTCTAAACCACTCAACGGATTTTGATAGTGTTTTCATTATCATTAAAAGAATTTCTTCCGAAAGGTTTCTAGATATAATCTATACATATCGACGTAGGAAAGCATATTTGCTGTAAGTAGACATATTGCAATTGTTCACCAGAGCCAAAAAACTTTCTTAATTTCGGAAAAAAATTAATAGTGTCTGACCTATCCATGATATTGCTACCATTTTTGGAACATAGGTTTATTTAACTGCCAGTCACCATTTGCAATGTAAATTTTTTATCCAAAGTTACTATAAGTACGTGTTTGGCTAGTTACAGCAAACAGTTTTTTAAATCACATACCTTTAAAACGCTGTAACTAAGGAAGAAAAATGTACGCGTAGATGGATATTATCAATTTACAAACGGTAAATATGCTGTATGCCATAAATTTATTTATTTGGGTACTGCAATTCATGATGTAAGATTAAATTTATAATTATGATTAGACCTAGAAATGCAGTGGGTCAGTTGGTAATGTAATTTTTGGTTGAAATAAAATGTCGTAAATGGTAAAAAAATTATGGTCTTTAAAATTGTTGAAACAAAATTTGAAACTCTAATTATACTTCCAGAACTTCGTTTCAACAACACAATGAATTAAAAAAGTATTTTTCTCTTATATATAAGAGATAAAACATAATGAGACAATAACAGAATGTCGTACAAGGAATGAAGGGTGCGGGCGGAGCCGGTAACGATGCGGTAACACCGACACAACTTCAAAGTACTATCATTTTTTCAATGGCGTAACGGTAAAATGAAATGATAAAAGATTTATTAAAATGCATTATCTCAAATTTCTAAAAAAAATCACAGGTTTTTAAAATGCATTATGTGGTGTGAGCTTTTAAAGCAAATACGTGATGGTTTGCTGTAAATAACAAAAACTATAACTGTAGGTTCCCTAAACTTGCTGTAAGTAAACGAATGTAAAAATCACACGCCGCAGAAATGCTGTAAGTCGCGTTAAGTTTTTAAATGGGAAGAAGTATTTGTAAAGCAAAAAATGCAGTCTTTTTTTTGCTGTAAGTACAGAATGTCTAAATGACTAGATTTTGGTCTACATACAGCATTTAATCTTGCAAAAAAAATATAAGTACGGGCGTTTTCAACGGCGTATGTAATTTTTAATTCATCGTAGAGACACAGGATCCGGGTCATTCGATGCGGCTTTTTTTCTGATTCTAATGGTAGTAAAAAGTCACTTTAGGTATTTTGTCTACTTACAGCAAATATGCTTTCCTACGTCGATATTATAAAATTGTAACTAAGCCGAATCTGTACATTAAATATTTTTTGGAATATCTTATTGAAATAGACATTATTATCGATACAGAGGCCGAATCTATAGTTTTTAGAATTTTGGTCTGTCTGTCTGTCTTTCTGTCTGTTACCGCATCATAGAAAAACCACGGGAGGGATTTTAATGAAATTTTATATGGTGATAGCTGGTTATCCGGGTCAACATATAGGTTACTTTTTACAGCGGTAAAATATCTCATTTCTGAGAAAAAATACAAAAACTGCAATGTAAGAGTATACTAATCTGTAAAACCTAAGAATTTGGTTTTTAGTCACCTGAACACGGGCGGAGCCGCGGTCAATGCTAGTACATAGTATTATAGTAATTATATTATAGTAATTTAAAGATTTATAGTGATACCGTAAATAACATATTTTTGGCGGTTAAATTGCTAACACTGGCAAAACCTTGCCAGATATATCAAAATAATGTACTACGGAATTGTATATCTTAAAAAGGTCTACAGAAAAATCCCCGATAGTATATAACTATCTCCTAATGATAACCCAGTTAAAAAAACTAAAAAATATATATATACAGAAAGTAATGTGGACAAAAGTGGACTTTTTACACATTACTAAAAAATAAAATATTATCATATTACAGTGTTAATCCTTATCCAATTAAATAGTTTTAGATATGTTGTGCATTTAATGTATCATTAAAATGAATGTCTTAAAAGATATCACAGATTTAAAATTATTAATCGCTCACAGCGAAACGGCTAATATTTCATCAAAACAATGTATGTACTAGAAAATTGTAGACCTATCTCCTAAAGGTTCAGGTTCAGGTTCAGGTGAGTGTTCACAATAACTATTTTTCTCTATTTAAAACGTACCTAGGGCCGCACCCGAGCGAAGCGAGGATATGTCTCTAGTATAGATAAATAAAATTGAATTGGTCAAAATAATAGCTTTTTACTAAATGCATATGAATTTATATAGGGTACTTATATGTATAAAAAACACAATTTTTAAAATATTTGTCTGTCTGTTTGTTCCCGCTAATCTCAGAAACGACTGAACCGATTTTAACGGGACGTTCACTGGCAGATAGCTAATATTATAACTAACTACTT